TTGAAAATGTCCACCGCAGTTGTGGACGAAACGTCAGGAAGAAATTCCGATAGACCACGGCTTCAAAGCCCGGAAAACATTTATAAATGTAATTTAAAGGAACTTTTAGAACCTTCAGGGCGATGAGCGATGGTTGGCGAATTTTACAAATAATTTTTTGTAAACCATTACTCTCTGGTCGATTTTTTCAAGATAATCCTAATTACTTTCGGTAAAAAACTGAATAAAATTATTTAGTTTTTGTGCCAAATTCGAAGCTGGAATGAGTTTTCTACAGTTCCCTGAAACCGATGAATGAGGCGATTTTTCTAGCAAAATAAATTTTGTAATTTTTGGCTGATAAGATTCCATTATTGTCAGAAAAGAAGAAAATCATCAGAAAATAATGTTTTTTTGCGTTTCCGATCAAAAACTTTTAGTTTTTTGATCGGTTTAGGGAAAACTAGAGGAATTTATTTTCGTTTTGTCCCAAATTCGACGCTGAAAAGCATTTTCTACAGTTCTCTGCAAACCGATGAATGAGGCGAATTTTCTAGCAAAATCAATTTTGTCATTTTTGGCTGCAAAGACCCCATTATGGTCAGAAAATATTATCAGAAAGATTATCATAAAATTATGTTCTTTGAGTTTTTGATTAAAAACTTAGTTTTGTGATTGTTTTTTCCGAAAGCCTTAAGAGTTTTCGGGAAAAAACGGAATAAATTGATTTTCGTTTTTGTCCCGAATTCGACCCCGAAAAAAGTTTTGTTTGTAAAATGTTTACAAAGCCATACATTTAAGTCTTATAATTTTTAGCGTAAGAGACCTCCAGATCGTCAGTTTTTTTAAGTAAAATTCTACAAAATAGAGCGTTTTTTTTTAAACGTTCAAAACTAAAAAACCGATTTTTTTTAAACAAACTCACATGGAGATGACCAAATTTCCAAATAATCTGTTATAAACTTTCACTAATTCTGTTAATTTTTTGATAGAAAATTATTTGATTTTTGTCCCAAATTCGAAGCTGGAAAGGGATTTCAAAACTTTTTACAAAGCGACGAAGGATTCGAAATTAATTTAATATTTTTTCGCGAAAAATACCTTAAGATTGTCAGCATTTTAAAACTTTATAAAATTTGGCATTTAGAAGAAAGAGTAACTTGACTAAAACTGGAAAACTCTGAAGAAATTTTAAAAATATTATTAATAAATGGCCCTTAAAGTAAATCTAAAAACAAGTAAAAAAGACATTTTTCCAACAACGAAACTGAGTTACTGCGCCGGTGCGTTGGGTCGGCGCAACAAAACATTTGCGTAGCACAGCGCCAACTCCGCCAAAAAACAGTTCTGTTAAAAATTAATGAAAATATGAAAAGACTAGAACACAAAAAACACACTATATTACACATGATTTCCAAAATTTATTAATACTACTAATATCACAATGTGAACTCAATTGCCTGGATGAATGTTTTCGACTATTGTCGTAGGTGGGCGCAGTGTACTTCTTAACTTATTCCAAAATTGTTGTTGTTTCCGTTCATCCAACGTCCACTCTAAGTAAATTCGAGTTTTTAACAGATACTTTAAAGTGGGCGTTAAATGACTCTCGGCCACTGAACTTAATTTAATCAGCAAAAGCGAATCATCCACGTACTCTCCCTGTTCATTTTCAAAGAAAAGTCTGTGATGCTCACAGATTTGACTCTCCCATCGACACCATTGAGATTTTGCGTAACTGTCCGTTATCACTAATACGGTTTTTCGGCTTTTTGTCACACTTTCTAACACACTTTCGGATATTATGGTCCGATTTGAAAGTCTCGTTCATACACGCACAGTTTCAGGAATGGTTGTAGGTTTTCCAGCATCCTTACTAGCTTTATCACAAAGTCTCTATCTTCGGTACTATAAGAGACAAATGCATCAAATTCAAAGTTGTCACTGCTTTTGACCGGCCGACCATGTTTTATTTTGCCTTTCCTACTTAAATACAATTTTGCTAGAAATATCCAGTATCTGATGTGCCATCTGTACCAAAATGCCAAAATACCTACAAGACCGACTAACACCAGTGGGCAAATCAGGGGAAGTAAAAAATATATTCTTCTTAGCCTGAAATTGCAAATGTGCTGTCCATACTCCTTTTTGGTCAGGAAATCTCCAATAGTAACATTATATAAATCATCTGGATAGCCGCAGGTTTGGAGCAGGAATAATGACCGATTCAAAAGAAGATTGTTAAAATTTTCTGGGAGTTCATAAAATTGTCTGAAGGACTCGTATGTAGCACTGCAAGTGCACAAAACAGCATTCTGCTCCAGATCAATGAACTCGACACCAGCAAAATCCTGATACATCGCCAATGTTATATCATTGAGTTTATTTTTTGCAAGACTAATTTTTGATAGATTTCTGTTGCTTTCAAACAGTCGCTTATCCCAAGATTTCAGTAAATTATACGATAAATCGATTATAGTCAAAGATACTAGAGTTGGAAAATCTGTTGGTGCCAATGTGATCAGCGAATTCTTGTCCAAGGCTAAATATTCGAGAGATTTCAAGTTACGGAACGGATTCATACCTTCCTTGTTAATAAATTGAAACTTACACCCGGTAAGCACCAATTTTTTTAGCTTGGATAACGAGAAAAAAACGTCGGGAATTGCATGGTCAGCAGCTATTATGTTGTTCATCAAGTTTAAAACCCTTAGTTCAGTTAAACAAGCAAATGTCATCTTCTGAATATGATACACCGAAGAATTTCTTAAGATTAACTCCTGCAAGAATGGCAAGTCTTTAAAGGAGTTATCAAAGAGATGTGCGAGGCCGTTAAAAGCCAAATTGATCCGAAGCAAACTGGACATGTTGCTAAACTCAACCTGCCTGATGTTAAAATAAACATGATAATCATCATTTGGCGAGTTGTTTTACATATCCAAAACAGTCAAGTTTTTTAAACTTAACACTGCCCTGGGAATGTCGGTCAATTTGTTGCCACCTAACAGTAAAGTTTTCATGTTTGGCAGATTTCTAAAGGCATCGTCAGTGATCTGAAGAGTCAGAACATCGCGCAATTCCAAAAACATCAGATTAGGCAAAAACGGAAAACTGTTTTTATCAAGTATTTCAAATTGATTCTTTGCCAGTCTTAACTGCGAAATGTTAGACTTTGCTATCGCTGCCATCAGAGGCCTTGGAGGCTCCTTTTTAAAACCCATATTGCAGAAATCCAGTGTCTGTAGATTTATATTTTCCTCCAATGTATTGTCGAGCATTTTTGAGAGAACGGAATCGTTAATACTGTTTTCTCCTAGATGAAGTCTACGCAGATTCTTCAATGGTTTCAACGCCAGCGGATGAATATATTCTATTCTGCACAGACTTAAGCTCAGCTCTTCGACTCTTGAATTCTCCATGGCTAAAAATTCGGCCTCGGCGATAGCTTGAAAATCATTGGAATCCATTACCAAAGTCACCAAATGTGGCACTGCTTGCGGACTTAAGCCTCGAGTTATTTCGTATACACTTTCAAACCCATTATTATTCAGAAACAGATTTTCCAATTTGGAAAGACCCCGAAATGCACCTGTTTCAATCGTTTTCAATTGTCCATTGTACGATATGGATAGATTCACCAAATTGCTCAAGTTGCTAAATGTTCCATTTAAAATGTGTGCGAGGTCGAAGTTTTCTTCTATTTGCAGTTCGACTAAGAAATCTAAATTTTTAAAGTCTTCCGGTCCTAAAACTTTAATACGGGTATTTATCAGCTTCAAGTATTTACTGCTTATTGGGATATTCTGAGTCATAGCCGTGCAGCCAACTCTTCCGAAGCAAATGGTCAATTCTCCTACGAGCTCATTACAAAAGCATCCAGTTTTGGCATCATATTCGTTCTTAGTTCCTCTGATTCCTTCCAATGAAAGTATTGTGGGTTTAGGTTTTGCTGGAAAACAAAAATTTGCTTCACAGTTTTCGCAGTCTATGACTTTTACTATTACCAGGATGAGTAGTGAAAACAGATAGTACATGCTTCAAATATTGCACACATTTCTCAGCATCTGAAAACACCGATGGTTAAAATGTTATTCTCCTATTTTTTTAAAACAGTTAGATGAAAAAGTAGTTTATTTTTCTAGTGCAAGTGCCCATATCTATATGTTCTATTTTAGTAATATCAACCTGCAACTGTGCATTTGTGTGAACACGATTATTTTTGCGTGTCTACTACAGACTGTAAAAATTTCAGGACGATGATCGCTCTAGATGTAAAGTTGTGTATTTTTTAGCAAAGGGTGCATTTGTGTGAAAACGAATATTTTTGCGCCAACATTCACTAAGTCAGCGTGAATCAGGATTCCGCAAAATTTTAACGAAAATTTCCATATGTTGAGACCTGCGTGTCTACTACAGACTGTAAAAATTTCAGGATGAAGATAGTTCTAGATGTAAAACTGGGAATTTTTTTAGCAAAGGGTGCATTTGTGTGAAAGCGATGGTTTTTGCTCCAACATTCACTAAGTCAGCGTGAATCAGGATTCCGCGAAATTGTAACGAAATTTTCCATATGTTGAGACATGCGTGTCTACTACAGACTGTAAAAATTTCAGGACGATGATCGCTCTATATGTAAAGTTGGGTATTTTTTAAGCAAAGGGTCCATTTGTGCCAATGTGGTGAATTTTGGGCCAACAAGTGTGAAATAGGATTCCGAAAAAAGATTATGATAGCGTCTTACATCCAGAAAATGAATAAAATGTTCAAATAAACATAGAACTTCGTTTTCAAAATAAAATGTTTCAAAGATGGAAATGTTTTAAGTTTTTCTTTATAGCTCCTAGAGTCATTCAGATACTTGTGTCAAATTTCAAATACTTAATATATTATGATCTACATTATTAAGACATTCAAACTGATTGTTAAATTCTAAAGAGTGCGCCACAGAAGTTTAACGGCAAACAAGTTTTCAAGTTCCTTGTTCAGTTTAGAAACTTATTTTCCACTTGCATTTTTTCCATACTTGCTCCCGTTTTATCATGTCATTGTGTTATCTTTGCAAATAACTCAATAACGGTGGCACATACGCAAACAACAAGGTAAGGGACAAACAAGACGGAAAAACGTAAAACAAGGTTCTAAAATTAATGCACTGAATTTTGATCAACCCGTATAAGAACTGTCCTTATATTAAAAATTATACAGTTCCAAGCTTTTAAAACACCTAAGCGAGACGAAGATAATATCAACAAAAATATTTCAAATGTTAGCGAAATACATTTGTTTCGAACGTTCTTGTGTGGAAAAGTATTTGCTTTTCCATGAAAAAAGAAAACTTTTGCTGCGTGTTTTATTATCTTATTATTTGTTTCGAAATAACTGTTGAACATTTATATTATTCCACCTTGACTCAATGTTATTTTTTGCTTGATGTTCCTGATCTCCACTTCAAATCATTCCCAATTGCAAATATATTTTTTATTTCTGAGCTACTTCGTATGCATTTTTCAATCACATGTATTTGTGCTAAACGTTTCACATTATTTGAACATAGTAAATACTTGATTCATTTGTTGATTTCAAGCCTTATATTGATTCTATTGTTCAACTAAAGCGACTTCAAGGCCTTTTCTTTAAAAACGAAAGTGTAAAAATCAAATTGTTTGATAAAAATTACGCTTTTCGTAGTATTTTCATACCCGCAGCAGTTTTGTGTAGAAGCATTACGCACCTTTTTAAAACCACTGTTTCTTATACTTAAATAATAGAACTTTTAAAATTACTAAAGCAACTATAACGTAGTTTAATCAGGTTAAATACCTTTTACCTACAAACCTATTTTTAAGTAAAATGAGATTTACTTATGTGTTTGTTGAGTTGAAATCTGGAATTTCTTGTCGAACTAGACGCAATTGGCCTCTGATATCCAAAGCGCAACATATTTTGTCTTTAGTTATGGACGAAATGTTCTTTAAATTATACTTTGATGATTTTCCGTTAGTTTAACAGTTTGTTCGATAAAACATAAGTTGTGATAGAATTACAATGCCAGAATTTGTTGCAAATTATACTTTCAGGTTCATGGCAGAAATTATCGCCAATATACGAAAGGACAACTACTTACCGTTCCACGAATTATGAAACAATACAAGAAATTATCTAGAACACTTGGTTTTTAATTACTTTAAATAAAAATCTATCTGAACTACAGAGTTGTGATTATTCTCTTACATTTTTCGACAAAATTAGCTTAAAGCAAATCACGCAATTAGATCTGTGCTGATGTTAAATTAATTCAATTTCTTTTATTTATATTTTTACTTACTTGTATGTTAATATTGTTGATTTTATAGTGTTAATTCGTTAGCGCGATTAGGAAGTATTGGTATGACGGTAGGTCGAACTTTAATGTTACGACATATATAGTGTTCTGGTAGCGCACATTTAAATTCTATGGAATTTGCAATTTATATAAATAATGGTAAAATCCCTCATGTGAATATACTCACAAAAAGGTAATGTTCAAATTATCCAAATATTTCAAGCAATCAGTTAACTTAACTGTACTTAAGTCAGAGTATAAATAGTTTTAGCATTTAAATGTTTCATAAGCTTTTTAAATTAAGTTTTCTCATACTCCTTGACAATTTTACTCACAATGTGTCTAAAATGTTTATTCACATCATCTATGAAACATAAATACTTTAATTTTTCTAAAAATATCTTTTTGAACGTGTAATTTCGGTTGTTTCGCTTTATTTAGTTTTACATATGAATTTTCAAGTTCGTTGAAACAATTATCAATAAAATCATTTGGTTGATAATTGAGGACGAACTCCAGGAGAAAACAATCAGAAAACAAATCAAATTAATCCAGGGAATATGCCACAAGAAATCTGAAAGATAGAAAACAGTGAATGTTTTCTTACATATTACGAGATAGATAGGTATGTGCTGTAAGTAACAATTTCTTATATAACTTACGCTTTTTTAAACTTAGTTCTTTTGTATAATAATTATCTTTGAAAGGGCGCCCTTTCAACGCGCGTTGCTTAAACGTTAAAAAAAACATTTTAATTGATCAATGTTATGGGTGGTTTCAAACATTTTTTGTATATTTAATATTTCAGCCTGCTTTTCAATTTGTTTCATCTTTAATATAAGCTTTTCATGATTCGATTTCACCCAAGCTGTCTGCTCGAAAATTTGGCTTTATAAACTTTAAATTATTTCGGTTATTATTATAGGACAATTTTTTAATTTAATCGTATGAGACGGAAAGCAAGACCCAAGAAGTGACATTTTGAATATTTGTCAATGTCCAGATTAGAGACGTCATCTTTACTGTAACAAATTGGCGTGATAATCACGTCAATATAACGTGACAGAGTTGGAGACTTTGACGTATACATAACGCAATTCACTGAGAAACGTCAGTGAATATTCCTAGTAAAGGATTATATAATCTTATATAGATACCGATACAAAGATATAGATAGAACCTAGATATCTACCTACAAGCTGAAACTATTTTCAAATTCAAAGGCGATTGGGCCATAAAACAATTACCTTAGATTCTACTACGTTTTTAGTTTGTAAAAAAGTCATAATGAACGAGAAAAACGAAAATTGGATCTTCCGGACAAGCAATATGAAATAAAATTATGATAATATTAAAAATAATTTCTGTGTATGACGTACTTACTAAAATGAGCCCACATCTAACGAGGAACTAGTAAGACTCGTCCATCACTTGTCTTCATCATGAACTCGTCTCCATCATCCATCAGGCCATCCGCCATTTATCAGGCGTTAAATAAAGCCTTTGTCGCTAGAGAGCGCTTATTACGAGAGACGAAGCGAAAAGACGACGAAGACTTAAGCAAAGTCAACAGTCAACTAATTTCAAAATGGACGTTCGCTAAACATGCATGTTGAGTTTGTATAGAATATTACCGGCTTCTCGTGTTTTATCGTATTTTTATGTTTAATTCGCACATAGATGAGTAGATAACAGTATAGGGCTCGCAAATACATCCAGTTATCGTGCTGTCATTAGTACGTTCGCCCGGAATTGAACAAATATTCAACTAAGAAGCGCCAAGGCCAAGGTTTGCTAGAAGATTCATTAATTCGAACTAGAGTACCATTATGGATCAGACTAATGAACATTCTGAAGCTTTATCGGAGCAAAACAGCTCGACGGACGGCCAGCAATTGAGTAATGAGCAGCGTCAATTAGAGGTTAATAAAACCTCATGTACTTCGGCCCTAGAAGTAAAAGATGACATTAAGATTGCAGACGATGAATGTGAAATGAATTATTCACTTAATCAATGTGCTTTAAATGGTAAGCAACATTTATATCCTAGTCCTTTTTAACTACAAATGTATGTCGAAGAAAATTTGCCTGTATATGGCAAAAACTAGTATCAAACCGTCTACATACTTGAAATTGCTATGTTTTTAGATTTAACTAACTGAGGAAATATACTTGAGATATCAATATTTTAGTAATTTTATCGGCAGGTGTACAAAAATCGAATGGACCCACTAGTAAGTGTTCTAAAAGCTCCGTGGTTATTATTGGTTAAAGTCTGCATTAGCCAATTTCGCTGACCAAAACCATGTTAGACATATTCAATATTTGTCTGTGTGGTTGTACATTTATACGATTCTGAACACATTTTTCGACAGGGTTCGAACTAGATTACGTGCCTAATAATAGCAATTTTCATCGGTCATAATTTGCTGTCTCAATATAATTGACTCGAGTTAATATTTTCTTGTTTTGTGCTATTAAGGTCCATCCTGTATATTGAAATATTTGATTAAGTAAATCAAATTATCATAAAACGAACAAAAAAAGCCTTATATTACTAATCTTATTAAAAAATATAAAAGTACCTATCGAATTAGGTAGGTAGGTTCTATAACCTACCTACCTAATTCGATTATTTTGCAGCCCTATGGCTGCAAATACTTATTTTGCTCTTACCTCTGACTTTTTTACGAGTAAAATCAAGAAATAAACTACCCCTATTTCTACCTAATCGCATTGATAAACTATTTAAAAATTCTGACCTTTTTCAAATTTCTGATGCATTTCTTTGTACTCAACATATTTTGCTTATAATTTTAACTCGTTATATTCCATTGATTTATTGCGACCCAAATAAGTATCACGCACAAAATGTTCTGTTTCATTATGTGTACCGAATACTTTTATGCAGAGGAATAACGCCCTTTTTTCAAATATTTATAAACTACAATATTTCCCATCTTATTGTATCTAAACAGTATTTTATATTTAGGATTATTAAACGATTGATTGACTTATCACGTGCTACCTACCTTACCAACATTACTTTAGCTAAAAGTAACAAAGTTGAATATAACAAGAGGTTGAGCCAACAATGTTTTGCAGATTTTTTTTGATTTTCTACAAGTGTTGAATCTAGTTTCATACGTTGTGAAACTTGTTCATCCAGAAATAATGATATTTTGCATAAAAAATGTAACTTTCTCTCAAATGGTAGGCACCATTAAGGTTGATTGGATTATTTCGACTTCCGTCTTATAACCAAGTTTTAATCGAATTCAATCACAACTGTTTCATTGATGATATCTTCAACCATTTTTAAGAGAATACGTTAAATATTTTGATTTGGAACAAATTTCACATTTATATATGTATTATTAGTATGAGTAATACGGTTTACCATCGGATTACATGCGTGAGAGTATTCAGTACCTATCTAAAATATTTCTCAAAACTGAATATTCAATTCATGTGTTAAATATACAAAGTGATTAAACGTTTACGGAAAAACCGATCGTTCTGAAAGTTTGTACCAATAAGTAATCGGATATGCTCTATCGATGTAAAATATTTTCAGCCGCTTAGGTATATCGAAAAGTACCGACAGCTTCGGTATTTCCAACCAGACATCCTGCATATTATTGCAAGTTTAGATGGGTCTTATGGATCTTATTAGGTCTTATTATAGGTCTGAAAATATTGTGTCACAAGTTATGATATTCTTATCTTTCCTGGCTCTCAGTCAAAGTGTGAAGTGAAAATTTTGAACATCGTTTATTTCATTACGTTTCGGCGAGACAACAGCGCCATCATCAGATTTATAATTTACACAAGCTACAAATACCAATTCACAATTAAAACATGTTGTATAAAAACTATAATTTATGAAGTGTGTTAACACATGAATGTTTTAATTCATCAGTTTTTGAGGGAAAAAAATCCTTCCTTTTGTGAGAGCAAAACACTGGACAAATTTACCTCATGATTGGTAAAAATCAACGTTCTTTTAGGTCTTTGCCTTCTTGAAACCTTAAATTTTTCGTAGTAACCGTAAGTTTTTCCAGTGTTTTGCTCTCCCAAAAGGAAGGATTTTTTCCCTCAAAAACTGATGAATGTTTCAACACTTTATAAATTATAGTTTTTATACATGTTTTAATTGTGAATTGGTGTTTGTAGTTTGTGTAAATTATAAATCTGATGATGGCGCTGTTGTCTCGCCGAAACGTAATGAAATAAGCGATGTTCAAAATTTTCACTTCACACTTTGACTGAGAGCCAGGAAAGATAAGAATATCATAACAAGTACACGCAGTCAGGAAAATAAATCAGAATTGTGTTACAAGGCGATTTCGTTAAGTGGAAATTTGAAATTTTCGGTTTGTGTTTGGAAATGAGCACCAACCACATACAGCAAGCAACTTGTTCTCAATTATACAGGGTGACTGAAATTATAAATGAGTAATGTTGCGACTTAAGGTAAAAACGACAATTGCACTTTTTCAAATGGAACATACTGTATGTTAGTACATGTTAGTACATGGGCAGGCAGACTGTTAAGTTCACTATAAGTAATGTAGATATTACATCTTCCTATACCCAAAGCGTCAAATTTTTGTGCCTGATGCGTTGCGATCAAAAGTATTTTTTTGTACCTTATACCAATATCTTGTAACAATGACATTTGTAGAAAATGCATGCGGATTTGAAACAGCTGCATCACTAGGGTTAACTAAGCAAAAAGTAACAAAGTCGAATATAATAGGAGATGAACAAAAGACTGAAGGCTCCCAACAATTAGAAAATCCCGATCAAGTTGTGATTAACAGGAAATCAGAAGCTTTGCACGGACTAACAGCGTATGGGGGTGCCAGCGATAGTGATGTATCCATTCAATGTTAAAAGACTAATCTACCGTTACTGACCAGTCCTATTTTAGGGCAGTGACGTAGACATTAGCAGCAAAGATGGGAATGAGCTCAGCCCTGACAATAATAAAACAAAGTCTGAACAAGCTTGGAGAAATAATGAGAAAGAAGATGACTCTGATACATGTGATTCTGATAGTGACTCAACTAACAGCACGTTATCCTCAGACTCTGAGAGTGATAGCGATAGTGAAAGCGATTATGGTGATGAAAAGCTTAATAGTTCTTGTATAGAAAAGGCGACAATCGAAATCGCGTAAGATTACAATACGTTTGCTTCTTTCCGTAATTTTATATTTAAACAGTTCCAGGAATGAAATCAAGACAGTTTCCCTTGTTGGTGATACAGGTGCTGTTAAAAGGACCAACAAACAAGCTGCAACTGAAGAATTTTTCCCTCCCATTCCTGATTTGTCTAAAATAAATATAAATGAGGAGGAGGAATTTATACATCTTGGAGAATTGCAAGCGATTGTTGGAACTTTAGGTGAACCTCAGCCCGTAATTATTGCTTTCAATTGGTAACACGTTTTCTATTTTAGTTACTATTGAATCGATTCCTGATAGGCCTGCTTTTGATTTGGACTCGATGTTGTTCATTGGTGATAGTCAAAAAAGGCCACTTGGTCCAATATTCGATGTCTTGGGACCCGTACTTCAACCCATTTACTGTGTTCGTTTCAATACTGAAGATGAAATAAAAGCATGCGGAATTATGCCTGGAATCAAAGTTTATGCCGCACCGAAGAGTGATGAATTTAGCAAGTTTGTGTTTCTTACGGACCTTTTGAAGTAAGTGACAATCTTGCTTTCGTCTAATTATCGAGTTGACATTCGCGGTCAACGTTTAGCCATGTTTTTCTTAAGAGTATGGGCGATAATAATTTTTTAACTCAAGTCAACTGGAAAACCTCTCAGTTGAAGAAGACAAACTCAATTTTATTATATTTTAAGCACTAATATTTGGCAATAAACGTTTTATTATTATTCTCATTTTCCCATTTCCTTGTTAAAGGCGTTCTAATTAACCAACAGTTTGTACAGAGGAGTATGCTTTATTTATTTCGATTTTCAAGAACACATTCTATTTTTTGTGAGTAGATGAAATGTGTTCATTAATATGTGTATGTCAATGGTTGCATTAACAATATATATCTTTTATAGAATAAAAGGCACGGATGCCTCTGGGTGTTATGATCAAGAGCAGCCTGGGGAAATATCTGATGATGAACAGGAATTCCAAACCAACGGAGCAAAACACCCACGGGGAAAAAGGAAATCGATTGATAATAGTGCAGAGAGACATAAAATGTATGAAAAAACTATGAATCAGTGTAATACATTTAATACGAAAGTCCACAATTTAGTGGATGTTCGGAAGAAATCAGTGAGAACAAGAAGGTAAGCAAAATTTTGATCAAAACTTTGTTTTTTCTTTTTCTCTCTGTTTATGCATCCTTATTATTTTCCTTAGACCAAATGCAACAGCGACTATTCAATCTCATATAGTTCCTGAGTTCAATCCTGCAGTTCCACCACCAGGCTACGCACTACATTCCAGTTTTGGATTCAATGGGCAACCGCAACTCGAAGTTCCTGTAAGATTTCACACAGGAGCAAGTCAGAATTTTCAAGCAAATTATGCGCCAGTATTCAGCGGGTCACCACAATTTGGTAGCTTTGATCCCAACACACCATCTCCCTATTTGGGGGGCCTACCATTAACATGGCCGAATTGTCAGAACAGCTCGTAAGTATACGTTTCAATCTTGCTTTCAGACTTTTGCTTCAAAAACACAATAAGAGTTGGACATTTTTTTCTTCGTTTCCACCTTTAATCAATAATAGAAAATTATTTTATTGTTATGCACTAGACCATTAATCATGCAATAATAGTAGGTTCTTCTATGTTTAATAGTTTACATTTTTTTGGTATTACAGAGGTATTCAATTCAACCAAGGTCCAGAGAACCTTCAAAGCCAATATAACTACTTTACCAACAACAGCCGAAACTCAAATGGTACAGACCCTGGTCCTTCCTCTCAGTTCTAAAATTTAGCATTATTTCAGTCAACTTCTTTCTTTCATTTTGCTATCGCAATCGCATCGGTTCCTGTAGATTCTACAGTTGCTTTAGGAAGAATGCGGCTCTCAGACGATGAAACCACATAAAGGTAGTCAAGTTGTTTTTTAAATCATTATGACAAATATGTTTCTCAGAAGAGCTTTAATTTTTTTCAACCAAAATTGAGTGATACATTACGCTACGTAACCAGAGAAAAACATGTTTCTCGTCTGTTTATTTTACCACATGTACTTTGTGCATTCTTCTTCCTACAGTCGTTCTATTCAAGATCCATTGATTCATTTAGGTATTATATTCCTAATAATTGCATCAATTGAATGTGGGAAATTTGAAGTATAGTTCCTCATTCGATTATTATACCTCAATAAATACAGTTCTACCCACATTTGTCTGCATTGATAATAGGGCTTCTGTTTAACACTTTCTTCTCCAATCGTGGTTCCGTTTCTAACAACTAAGTCTGCTTTTACAGATACACATTTGCAATAATGTAATAAAAATATAGTAATAAATGAAAATAAGGCAAACCTATCTGCCTTTTAATGTTTCAATTTTTAGCGATTATCTGCAGTACGGGATATGAATCCACATGGACAGAAATTAACGAATTAAACAGTGTGCTTTTTATATTAAAATTTAGAAAATATATATTTCACAAATATGTATATCGAAGTAATCTTTGTTTTATGAAAAAGCTTGTGTAGATTTACAAACAACTATTCGACTGTTTCAATTATTTTTTTGTAACAATTCAACCATAATTTATCCATAAAACCATTTTAAAAATGTCCAATAGTGTAAAGGCTAAGAGATCCTGAACGTGTTTGATAATAAAATAGTTGCTAAAACGTATAAAAACTGCTTGTCGAAAATCCACCGATTCTATTCGTACTACAGTTAATCCTATGTATAATACATAAAGCACCAACTCAAAATTTGTTTAAAGGCTTATTGACATTTAATCAAAAGTCAACAAATGTCGCTTTAAATATTAATAAAGTTCTGTTGCACACGCTTGTTCATAACTAAGTTGGCGTTCGAGATCAAGTTCTTTCCATTTAATCTAAATTTTCCACTTAAAACCCCTTATGAGATGTCAGAAAAAAAATTGTACTTGTTATATTAGTTGTGTTAAATGATTTCACGATGCTACTGCTTATTGTCGTTAACTTAGTTACTTTGATAATTTACAAACTCAGCTAACTGAACAAAATCATGGTGTCCCACTAAGACTGTGAAGCAGGAATGACATTGCCACTGTAAATTTAAACGAAACCTTCCAACATTTAATTTGGTTATTCCGTAGATTATTGAGTAGGCTTTGGTTGAGTTTGTAAATTGAGTATATATTACATAGTTAGGAATGTCTAGAGGATGGATATTTGGTGATTAGCAGTTGACTCGGGATCGTCTGAAGATTTATAGACTTCAGAGTTTGTTTTGTTATATGGTTATATTCCAGGATATAAAAATCTTGAAAGCAAATGGTTTTTTCTTATAGTAGATTTAAAAATTTACGACAATAGCTTTCCAATAAAACATTTTAATAGTCAATGTGAAAATGGATGCAGTGTTCAAAACTGTTTCTAAATCGACCGAGCCGAATGGCGAGTGCTTCTTTGTCCCCGATGAAAAATGATGTAATAAATCGGTTTTTGCTGAACAAAATAGGTCAAAATTTATTTTGAATGCACTTTGTTATAGTAGATTTCCGTGTTTTGAGATTGACAAACGAGCAGTAATTCGTACCAAGTTCTAATCAAAACCTAGTTAGCACGTAAATAAACTTGAGCATCAAATTGTACGGGTATCGGCAAAATGATACTTTTGACTTGTTCGTGTATTTGCTATAACCCTAACATAACACTCGAAATTAATACTAAAACATTTTTGTTATTAGAATTGCATATAGCCCATATTCTTCGAGACTCGATGGCCAATATTACAATGATATCGGTACGTGCGAATGGGTATGCGGTTTCTATACGTACGTTCCAGTTTCATAAGTGAGCTGTTCTTTGTTTTGAAGATTTATTGGCAATACGTGGAGGACATTTCGATTATTGAGTTTTTGCGTGTTGAAACTAAGTTATGGTATCAAAATGTTGATCGTTTTTCATAGAGAATATGCATTTCAAAGTAAATCTGAATACAAATTTTCTCTAGTTTAGATAATTTACGATTTAATCCGAATGTTTTTGTGCTGATTGCTAGAGGTTGTTATAAGATTTATTGCAGTTTTTCGATTGCATTTGAGAAAGTGTCTGAGATGGATTATTTCGCTTTTAGACACATGTGGTGAACTTACGATGGCACGAAACATCTCGTCAAAATTCGTAAAAAGCTTATGAAAGGAAAAATGGCATTCTTCATAAAATGTTCTGTATAGTTTAAATCGGAAAAGGTAATCATTAATTGTATACAAGATTTCTCAAACTGTATGAATTTGGCTCAAGATCAAAGTAGCTTCTTTTGACAATATCGAAAACAATCACAAAAAAAGTTGATGAGTAGTGAAAAGCAGATTAAAATATGCAGTTACATACCTTCATTTTTATTTTGTTTTATTTCAAATTAACATTTACGCATTTTCGGCATGGCAAGTACTTTGCCACAGAACGAAAAACTATTGAAACTTTGAATATTTCTTGAAAACCGTTTACTATACTCACAATTTACATCAAATGTTTTTGTTTTTCGAACGTTAAAAACATTGTTGCAAAACCTCTCAAGGTGTTAGCTATTCTTCTACGTGTTTGCTGGCACGTAAATACGCTTTATAAAGCATTTTGACGCATTTTGTTGCGCTTTTTTTTAATGAAAAAATCTTTGATTTGTTTTATTATTCGCGTGTTTTCTCGTACAGACAATAAAAGTGCCTCGCCAGTGACTAGGTTATTCAAATTGAAAATGAGGAAAAAACTTTTATCTTTGGCTTTATGCAGTAAGTACAAAAGCGAAAGCAATTACATTATGCATATCTTTAATTTAATATTAATTCATTTGACTAATCCTGATTTTAAGCACTGTGAAAATTATCTATTCATTAAAATAGTACCCACGTTTATAAAGTTTTCGCAATCTATAGAAGCCAGACCAGGATGCTTCACCTATTTTGTTCGTCTATTCTTCCGTTTGGCTAAGATCTATGTTTTTATTACATTTTTCAGCTGATTTAATACAGTTTTATGTACTGTGTTTTTCATACTTAAAAATTGTTGGCAAAAGATGTGGCTATGAATGCTATGCTATGCTATGTGAATGCTCTATTCATTATGCCGCAGCCAAGAGCAATGATAATTATTTCTTCAAGTATCGCTATGGTTTTTAGACCTGCTAAAAATACTGTTAGTGGGTATGTTATAGAAGGTGTCCCGAAAAAGGTGGCTGTACTTTCCTGTATGGTAAAGACACATTCAATTATTAGAATATTAATTTTTAGATGGCTTGAAGCTTAAAACTAAAAAATGTACTCTTATTTCACATTTTTAAAATAACTGAACACCTGAGGAAATTTTGTGACAATCATTTAGCCGCATAAATTTTACAAAAAATCACATTTTTTTGGCTTAGACTAGCAAATTTGTAACGGAAATTTACCCACCTATATTGGGCTTATTTCATGGATGAATTTGTCGGAAACTTCTTTTGCAAAATGTTTCCCGGAAAGTCGCTTTCTGGCATTTATTTTTTAAACTAGGCTTAAGCAATAGACGTTTCGACGCCACTTTATGTTCGGTGTAAATCACTAGAGCTTCAAGAATTATTCCATGTTTAACTTAAAAATTTAATATTTTTTAAATCACAAATTAACGCGAGTCTCAATATTGATTTAATTTTTAATTGAAAACGCTTTTCTTCCGGGTGGTACGCATCTTGAGACGATTGGTCGGGTCGAAATTATAAATTTTCTTGGAAACCCATCGATAAATTGAAGCTTGTGATGGGATATTCGGCTTTTTCGGACGATTTTAACTGAAAACGAGTACTCTAGTAGGTAAATGTAGTTCAAATTGTTGCTTACATTAAAAATTCCCCTGCAATAAATCATCGAACTTTGAAAACAATTGTAAGTTTAAATTTTAAACAAGAAAATTTTAACCGTATCAAACTATGCATCGAGTCTAGAACTATGCAGATAGCTCCTAGATTAAAGATAACTTGTTGGGATGTTTCTATAAGATTGGATATTTTTATATTTTCCTTAGTATTTAATGCAAAATATGTATCGAAGTAGAAATAATTTTTCCAGCTTTCTTTCTTTTATTTTCCAGCCTTATTATAGGCTTCCAATCCAATAGGCAATCCACTTTTGCAGAAAAATTTGCAAATATTTATAGTTTAGTCGCAAAACTGGCCAATTTTCCTTTTTTTCTTTCAATTGATGGCCAATTTTTGAATAGCCGAATAAAACTGAAATTGCAATTATTGATGAAACTTGGACTTCAGCTGTAAAAAGATTACATTTCTTAATTTAATGAGAATAATTATCGCCGTTATTTCACCTGGTTCATTTTCTAGAAGTGGAGCTAGAAACGTTTTTGTGCCATTTGATAGCATCCTTTGTTGTGTGTATTGTTAGTAAAAATAAAAAATTTATCCATAGCTTTATACTTCACAATAATGGTTATTTGAGTCCTAGGACTTTGAAAATTAAGCGATGATTGGCTAATTTTCATCATTCATAGGGTTCAAGATTATCATTTTTTTTTCATAATTTTTATCATTTTTAAAATGTAACCTTTTAAATATTAAAACGGTTTTTTAAATTTTCATATTGCTTTAAATTTTGATCAAATATTAAATATATAGAGTGTTTTGTGTGATCTGATCAACTTTGATGTAACTGTGTACATCAAAAGCGTGCCCGCGTTTTTCGGGGCGACATATTTATCATACAAATATACAGCTGTATTATTATTACGGGTTATTAATGATAAACTGGTAGTGTTTTTTATTTTGAAAGTTTTCACTTTTCAAAATGTCTAACCAAGTAAATCTTTAAAGCACATGAATCCAAGCAGAAATATAGGTCTATTGTCTAACTATCTATAGCAAAAAGCGTTTAATTGTTCATCAAAAGGAAATTTCCTATAAATAGAAAAACACTTTTATTGGCACAAGGAAATGTTGTAATTTACTGGTTGTATACACTTTTGAGCTGTTTTGCAATTTCCCAGATTGCGTGGATATTGTGTAAATAAATCTTGACTGGATGCCAAACAATTGGTTTACGAGCATCTCCTACATGGCCGCGTGTTTCGCATAAACAGTTAACAAAATATATACAAATGAACGCTAAATATTTAGTAACACCTCTAGTTACTTTAGTTTTACACGGATTTCGAACCGAGCTCGATTTGTGCGAATTTTCCGATGGGAAATTTACTTGCCGTGTTGTGATTTAGCGAATTAACATCTATCCAGGGTGAATACCAAACGGGTCTTGTCGGATCGGATTTGTGCCCATTATTGTGCGTACTGGTAAACTTATATTGCTTGGAGCAAAACATGATTCAAATGGTTCCAAATGTATAAGAAATTTCAGAGTCAATTGAGAGCAAATATCAATTTGAGGTCACGAATTGCTTTACCGGAAAAAGTACTGCTTGCGGCTGGAATGATATATATCTTCGATTTTCGCGAATGGAAAGAAAATATTTTAGAACTTCAACTTAAACGCAAAGTTTTAAATTACGTGCTTTTTGTCAAATAAGACCACACTTAAAATGCAATTTTTCGATCAATTTCAATTACTGAAGAACTTCTGGAAAACGTAAGGGCTCACAAATTGGCATGTTCTTTGAGCCGAATTGATTGGTTTCGTGTGGACAATTAAGCAAATCTGAAGCAAAACGTTTTGAAACAGTTTGAATTGATTTTGTACTCGCCAATTCGTTTTGTTTTCCAAAACATTTTGAATATTTGGGAGGATATTTGAATGTTAAATTGAGCAAAGAAGGTAAAACGCACAGTTTTGGCTTCATTTTTTGTTTTTTTCTCTTGTACTTTCTGTTAACGTTAATACGTGTAAACATCTGCATTTGGTTTACAATCAAAACCTATTATTTTCTTCTAAACTCTTTTACCGCCAGCCTGAGAACGACTTTTAATCTTTCTCGATCAAAAGAAATTAATTTTAGGGTGAAATAAAAGCATAATATTGATTTTTTTTCTATATATTCCCACATTCAGGTCAAAGAATATTAAAATAATTTTGTGTAATTCGCTATGAAATACCGATGAGACAGTACACTCGATCAGGCATTTTCCATGCGAAAAAGAAATTATCTTTACTCCGAATTCAGTGCATTTTTTCTTCAATAAAAAAGTGAAAATGTGAAAGTGTTTCTGAATTAACTGTTGCTTCATCATTTCAGTATTTTACTTTCAATTTTAAGTATTACAACCGTTATGTTTATTTAACGAATCTCAAAATTTATAATATCGTATTTGGTATATTCTGAAATGAGCAGCAGTTATAATGAGAATGTTTAGGTTCAGGTAATGTTACACTGTACATTTTAGATTTTGCAGATTTTCCGAGAATTTGCATATCTGAAATATAGTTCGCTTAATTCTGATTTATTTTCCTGACCCCGTGTACTTGTTATAATATTCTTATCTTTCCTGGGTCTCAGTCAAAGTGTGAAGTAAAATGTTTTTGAATATCGTTTATTTCATTACGTTTCGGCGAGACAACAGCGTCATCATCAGATTTAAAATTTACACAAACTACAAACACCAATTCACAATTAAAACATGTTGTATAAAAACTATAGTTTATAGTGTTAAAAGATTTAACAATCATCAGTTTTTGAGGGAAAAAATACTTCCTTGGAAAAGCATTTCCAGTGTTTGGCTCTCCCAAAAGGAAGGACTTGTATCCTCAAAAACTGATGAATGTTTTAACACTTTATAAATTATGGTTTTTATACAACACGTTTTAATTGTGAATTGGTGTTTGAAGTTTATATAAATTTTAAATCTGATGATGGCGCTGTTGTCTCGCCGCAACGCAATGAAACAAACGATATTCAAAAAAATTTTACTTCACACTTTGACTGAGACCCAGGAAAATTAAGAATATCATAATTTCGCTTAATCTAATGTGCAATATGACTGAACTAGACATTTTATCCTTTTACTATTTCTTTCTTATACACGAAAGCTTAAAAAATTATCGTAAGAAACTGGCGAATTAGAGGACGAAACTTATATTATAGTAGTGATAATGTAAAATTACAATATACAAAGTATCCCAAAAAATCGTTACCCAAATGAGTGGCAAGCCAAACCTACGTTTACCTGCCTTACCTGCCTTAAATTGAATTCGCTCTGTATATACTTAATGGACTACTTAACAAATTAAGATCATATTTCCATTGAAAACTCAGTACCTAGTTTTGGCACTCAACAATAAACCATCCTGAGATAAGCTACCGATTGTTGTTTAAGCTTAATTAAGCATGCTATGTTCCTGAACTACTGATTAGCGGAATTACATTTTGCTTAAAATAAAATGTATGTATATATAAATAATCTTTATTTCCTATAGAAATGGCTATCGACCCAATCGGTTTTTCTGCCCTAAAATAAAATATATTTGTTTAAATGCTGATAAGAACTTTTAGTTCATTTGAATAGACAAATAGCGACGTTTTAAATCACTCTACTTTGACTCATTTTCATTTGGTGAAAACCAAATTTGAGAGTCTATTGTCATTATCTAGATATCGCACTTTTCCGCCAGGGTTGTACACATTATACAGAGTGTTCCTAAATAAGTGCCGCAACAAACACTGCAAAACTGCAATGAACGGGAGAAAATGTTTTTTTACTGCCATTTTTTACTTTCTCCCTTTGTTTTCACAATACTGAGTGTCAAAAATTATATTTCATTTTAATTGTGTTTGAATGTGTTTGTTCTACATTAATGTGCTTTTGTACACGCATTACCACTACTAATATTTGTTCGCAATGTTGTACGAATACTAATTATTTCACTTAGCAATGTCAAGCTTCTTCGTCTATCCTTCTTCCACTCGACTCGAAAGTGTGGTATAAAAAGATCAGAAATACATCATTCGAACAATTGTAAGCGTTAAACAGTAAAACAATCAATCTTCCGTAAAAAAGTACGAAAAATAACCACCTTCGGTCCGCCAGGTGGCAGCGATATATCTCAGTACTTACAAGACAATTTTTCATTGCTTCGTAGAAAATTCTAGAAACAATAGTCTGTCCTTTATCTCTAGCAAAATATCAAAAAAATCACTACTAACTAAAAAAATCTGTTACGATTGAATACATTCTTTGAACTGGAAACATTTCTTGCAATTTTTAAGTTCTGACAAATTCGTTTATTCTCAAGCATTTGATGCAATAGACATGCTGAAAAACAAAATATTATCTCTGGTTAAATGTTATAAACAATGCAAGTATAATCACTGAATCAATGCCACCACCTAACCGAGATTAAGCTTTTGTTCTGTTTGTCTATATTGATACATGCGCTTGGAATTTTTACTAATTTTATCTAAATTGCCACTAAATGATAATAATTATCTAATACACTTTTGGACAGGCAACCAAATTATTTCGCAGTAACTTCAGTGCGAAAGTTTCCTGGCGCATAAATGTCTGTCGGGTTGATTCAAGTTGACACCGTAAAAGTTTAATTATGTTATGTTTTTTAGTATATTTGTGCTCATTTGATATAATTGAGAGGTTAAAAAGCTCGCCACAATATGCTACAATAATTGTCGCGAATTACAATTTCTTCCAATCACAAGAAGTTTAACATACATAATAATGTAACTATTATTTTAAGGCCCAGTATTTTCATCTCCTGGTAATTTTCTCTGCCATATTACTACTGAAATCTGTCTTCAATTCATTAACTTTCTGATAGATAAAGCGATTGAGGTGAACATATACAGGCCGTGAGTGGTAGCATACAATTTATGTACGTACACGTGCGAGTGGGAATTATTGCTGAGTGAATGAACAAATTGCAGTTAATGTTTTTTAGTGATAATTTCGATATGAAAAGGAAAAAGTCGAGACCCGCACCATTAGTACTAATTGAAGGTGAGCCGATTCCGAGTAAGAAAATTCAAAGTTTACCTATAATGTTATAGTTTTCTTTCACAACTCGTAGCTCATCATAAAAACTGAAAGCGAGTTTTGAAAAAAAGCTTCAATGTAGAAAAGTTAATAATGTTTCCACATTTTTCCAGCTCACTTTGATCGAATAAATTGCACTATTGTCTCATTGGTGCTTTTACACATTTTCGTCAAATTGATATTTGAAAAAAAGTGACAAAATATGCAGTTTAAAAAAATCTCTAACTTCGTCAAGTGAGTAATGAAGTATGATCAAATAATCTAGCGGAAGATTATAAATTATTGAGACAGATCATCCATTTCCACATATAAAACGTCGAAATTAAACTTGAAATTGATCCATATATTTCTAAAAATCTTCATTTAAAGGAAATGTCGATAAGGTTTTCCAAATAATACTTTATATAAAGTAAAGCACAAATTATTCCGATGTAGTTGAAACGAAGTAAAAAAATATAAAAAAACGATGTACATTCAAATTGTATAAGTTGGAATATAGGTATAATATAATAAACTGGAGAACATTTTCAATAAGCGAGTTAAAACTTGCTCCAACTTTGTTTCCATAAAAATGCCTGAACGACGTGGACATTATCCCAGGAAAAGAAGATAATTTTATTTATGACACGAAAACAACAAACCTGGTTTTTTTCGCTATGAGTTTTACCTCAAAATTGAAATAGAAATTTGAAAATAAGCGACATCTGCAATAACAATAAATTCATGTTTTGTTAATTTAAAAATAAACAAAGTGTGGCAAAATACTAACGTTAATTAATTAAATATTAATATTTAGCTGTTGTATGATAATTTTCAATTTCGTAGTTTACCTACAAGGCACTGGGTGATTGAAAATAAATATTTTTAGGATATACAGGGTATTTAAAAATGGGTGTGTTTTGAGAGCACAGGGAGAATGGTAAAACAAATAATTGTTAATAAAAACTGAGATATTTGCAAAAAACTATATCAGAAGGATGGCAGCAATGTTTCTCAAGGTAATATGCTTAATTAACATTTTGAAAAAACCTGTTGCTTCGTAAATAAAAATTCCGGTAACCATGGAAAAGTATAGAGTGACAATAAGATAGATAAGGATAAAATTATTGTTATTTTTAACAAGGACTATCCACCTGTAACTATCTGATGATGACAAAACACCTCATAGCCGCTTTAACTTTTCATCAAAGAAATGTAGGAGAGAACTTTTTTAATATAAAAAATTTTCGTTATTTGAAGGCAAATATCGTAATTTTTCTTTTGGAATGCATAAGCATTCCAATATGTCACAAATTAAACATGGGACAATTTCAAAATAATGCTTTATAACAAAGTTGAAATTTGATTCTCAACTGTTAATATCTTCTAGAAATTTTCCTAGAAAAATTATATTTTTATCGTAGGTACTATCCAAGTGAACCGCTATTACCCCTTAAAATGAATGACGCTAATCTTGAATCACCCTGTATATAGGAAGTGAACAAAAGCTTATTTGAAAAAACTGAAAATAAAAATTGTTACACAGTGTGTTGGTGTTATAAGAACGTACAATCAGGCAACATCACTAAATTTTTAAATCGTTAATATTTATTATCCTTATATTCCACGTTGCAGTAATTACACTTAATAAATTCACACGAGTTTCTCATATACGTCAAAAATATAATTTAAGTACAGCTTAGATGATATCGAAGCTGTTATTTAAGTTGGATGATAAATGAATAGACAATATCTAATTTTCTTTTTATGAAAATATTACTCAGTTGTATAATTTATAATGCCTCAGTTCTGTGGGTTTAACTGTCGTACAGGGTGCTACCAATTCAAGTGCAACTGTGCCTAAATGCGTCTTTTCCGATCTTGTTAAATGGCTTCTATTTTTTGTCAGTTCACTTATTTAGTAGCAATTCCAACTCTGGTTCCAATCTGATATTTCGCTTTTTTGTAGACATCAATTTCATTTTGTTGCATGTTGAAAGCACGCATAGCTGTTTGTACTTAAATCTATGGCGTATTTTACATTATTTTAGTTATATCGATTTAAACCAGGAAAATGCATGCTGTGCAGTTGGGTATTTTTAATCAACCATTGTCAGTTTATTGAAAATTTTCCTAAATAATTTGGAAGTTCAGTATTTCGTACTCACATTTTCGAATGAAGGCAAAACCCTGATGTGTATTATTTGTTTTAGATGATCTTATAAAATTACTTGCAAATCTCGTTATTAATATATTATGCCGCATCCATATCTTATTTATCCGGTTAACCGAGTCATTATCATTAAGCTAAGAAAAGGCAGCATTTTATAACAATGCCCAACCATTGTTTTATGCACCTTGTAACAAGACGAGTTGCAGTAACGTAATCCTGAAGAGGATTTAAATAACCAAAAACCTCGCGACGCTGATAAAATCCAACGTGAATAGTGTTAAATTATTTACGCTGTAAGTCGTCTGTTATTGTTAGCAATTATTACACCTACTTCAAGAAATATCTTGGAAAAGGCGTCATAGTTGGGCACAAATTCGTAGCTGGCAAGTGTTGGTGTGCCCCATAGAACAAGGCTTATGTGTGCAGGTGTGCCCCTAGTGATCACTTATGTAAGTACTTGAAACATTTAGTGTTGGATTAGTTGAGTGTCACTTGGTGAGCAATTAAAATGGGGACACTGAAGAAGCGAGTGACTCGTCCACGTCCATTCTCACCATTAATTATTGAAAAAGGTGAGTTTTTAAAAACAAACGCGATTTTCTAAAGATGTGAAAATCTTAATCTCAAATGCATATAAATGGAAATGTAACAAAGAAACATAATTTTCTCTGACGAAATTTAATTGTCTAAAAATTTAAATATGATGTAAGTTGTATTTTGGCATATAATATAATATGATATACATCATGCAATACAAAATATACAGGGTGATTTACGTAGACCGTGCATTAAAAATTTCCCACCTTGCAGTTGTTTAAGAAAAACAGGCATTACAGATGTATAGGGAACAAGCTATAGACACTAAGGTATCTATTTTGTAACATATGAGTGCATATAGCCTACAAACATTGATAAAAAAGGTCAAAAAATCAGTTTTTTTAAATGGCACTCTTGGCTCCTAACTTTTTGGTCCTATTTAGTTTGGTTTGGTATTGTTTAATAATAGCAAACACTTTCGAGCTGGACCAAAAAAGTTGCTTGGTGCTATTTAAAAGAGCTGATTTTTCACATCGGAATCATTTCATGGAAAATGTGCATTGTGAAAAAGCAGTCAGTGAAGTCAAATTTTAGATACTTATTGTGCATAAGCTAGCTGCTGATTGAAGGGGAACGAAATTTAAGGGTGTTTTATATCGACCACTGAAGATTCCAAGTTAAAATACAACAAAAGTCGCTAAACAGTATTAAACATCACGCACCAAAAAATGGATATCGAAATTTAGAGTAAAATCTAGTATGAAATGCAATTGTATAGGTAGTTAAAGCGAGTAAAAAAATATTTTTTTCACACGAAACGACACTTGTACATGTTTGCTGTTACGTTGGTATTAAAACAAGTAATTGATATAACGTAATACAGATACTTTCTTGTCATTCCTTGTCGCATAAATATTACATGCACTAATACAGTAAAATACAAGTCAACAATATCTGAAAGCGATCTTCCAGGGAAAATTTTAAGCCAAACTTACCGAAAGAAAGCTGCATTGTGTCACCTAGAAAGGAAAAAAGGTGTTTAGTGTACAGGAAATAATTCTAAGCTCCATTGAAATTGAAATGTAATAAAGGCCCGAACTATCTGTTCGCTCTCAAAAAAATCTCCGCCAGTTCAAGCCAAGTGTTTCGAACATGCCTACATTTTTTATTGAGAAAGTCTATCTATGTAGCCGCAAATAAAAACTCGAAAAATATAAACAGCTCAGATCAGGCTGGCAAAATACAATGGACATTTTATGCTCAATCAAAACCGGATTTTTTCGGAATGTGGCAAACCTTTGGACAATCCTGAACCTTTCAGGTTTTTTTCGACTTATGCGTGGATTGTCGGTTTTCGGGGAGATTGTTGTACTTTAAGACGTTTTTTAATTTGGTTTTCAGACATATCATATTTTAAATACATTATTTTAGCTAAATCCATTATGTTATCTTCTCTATTAAGAACTATATTCTCAAAAAATATACAGGGTGTCATCCAACTCATCGTAGCATCGTACCGTTCAGAACTTTCTCGTTCAATAACAGGGGAGTCAAACACTTTTCCTTAATAAAAGTTTGCCGAAATATTTACGTGTGGGTCAATACAAAAAGCCTTTTTAAAAAAGGTCTTTATTAGAATCCGGATACAACTGAACTGATTTCGCTTTGTTTCGAGTTGCAATTGTAACCTCGGTACAAGTTCTTATCTTTGCTTAGTGTTTAATTAATTTTTGCTTACAATTTAAGTTGCAAGAATGTAACTAAATCGTCTTTTTTGAACCAGAGAATGTCTCAGTATACTATGTTACAGACCGTATATAGAATCCGACCGTATATATACGGACTAGGCCATATACAGGGTGTCCCGTAAGCACGTGATCAAAAGGGTACACCGATATTACTTGTACCAAGAGAAGACGATCTGACCTAACTTTTATTAACAAAAAATGTCTCGATTATCTGCTATTGATGGTCAAATTTCTTCAAAAAGTTTATCTTTTTTGAAATATTGGGAGAATATTTAAAATTCCGATATGTAAAAATGGAAAATATGTATATTATCTTCATAAATGTTGTAAAGGAGGTGCTAAATGGTGCCGACTTAACTTGGAACATCTTATACAAAAACGTTCTTTACATTTTTTAGAAATATGTTCAGTAAGTAGGATTTGGGAGTTCAATAAATAGGAAAATGTTTGCATAATTTATAATAATCGTCATCTTCAATATAAACTTCTTACATGTTTTCCGTGCTTCTAGTAACAAGTTGAAATTCCTGAATTCGCTAACC